AGGTCTATCCTCTAGAGAAAAGTTCACCAGAGTTACACGCTAGACTGCCCGGGACAGCACTATTCTTCATAGCCCCAGACAAATGCTCACCAACAACAGAACAAATAAATGAACTGCTTATCCTTGCAATGGAGTACTGCACAGGGAAAACAAACTGATGGGGTGACTCTCGTGAAGTGTCGGTGACATGAGACACGAAAGACACATACAGTGTGGTCCTGTGGGTGCAGAGGTGGGCGAAACAGCCAAAAGTGCCAGAAGTCAGGAAAGGGGCACCCCTAGCGCCTGTAATGTTTGATTTCTCCATCTGAGTGACGGCTGCACAGGATCCTCAGGCAGGTGGGCTTTCCGTGTGCATAGTACACTTCGAAAAATTGAAATAGAAAAACGTCAAAGTCAAAGGAAGCCATGCGAGTGGGAGGGGGTGACTCACAAAGGTTCGCTGCTGTGGACTCTTTTTTTTTTTTTTTTTTTTTTTTAGAGACAGAGTCTCACTATGTTGCCCTCGGTAGTGAGCTGTGGCATCACAGCTCACAGCAACCTCCAGCTCTTGGGCTTAGGAGATTCTCTTGCTTCGGCTTCCCATGTAGCTAGGACTACAGGCGCCCGCTCTGTGGACTCTTTTGCTCGGCCTAATTATGCGGATGGGGCAAGGCTCACGGAATCCTTCCAACCCCCACACAGGCAGTTCCCTTCCCCAGACGCTGGAGCTCAGGAGCAGGAAGGCCCATGTCCTTGGAAATCGCTTTCTGAGCTTGGGAGAAAACGCTTCTGGGGCGAGGGAGGAGCGCGGCGCAGCCGGGAGGCGGCCTGCAGGCTGGGCAGGCGAGGGCTGAGCCCTCCTGGAGCGACTCCCCCCACCTCCCCGGTTTCCGGACCTCCGTGTCACGGTTCACAACACGACAAAGCTCCTTGTCCTCTCCGTCCCTGAGAGGGCCGGCCAGAAGAGCAGGACGCTTCCGCCGTAGATAATCAGAGCGGGCAGCGCGCCTCAAAGAGCTGGTGGTGAGCCCGGGCGCTGGGCTCCCGGCCAAAGCGCTGGCCCCGGAGCCCGCGAGCCCATGCGGTGGGAGACGGGTTCAGCTGCAGTCCCAGAGACTCGGTCTGTGGGGAGGGGAGGCTCTGAGGTAGGCCATACATTTCTATGGCTGTAAAATTAAAGTGTTAGAAAGTTTAATTTGAAAAACTTGTTCCCCGTCCCTGTGAACCCTGCCCTGCGCCCCTTTGTGAGCTCTTTGTACGTCTGACAGCTTGACCAGAAGAGGATGAGCGGTCTACGCGCCACTCTGCACCTTTCTCACCGCAAAAGGAACTGCGCTGCCCTGTTCTGTACCTCGCTTTCCTCCCTCCCTTCTTTTCTTTTTCCTTTTCTCTCCTCTTCCACTTTCTTCTAAGTGCGGTGGGTCCTCCAGACTGTCCCCAGGCTGCCTAGAAAGGTTCGCCACTTTTTCTGACAGCTGCCTCCTGGTGCTCTTGGAGGCACCCATGTCCTTTTAAACTGAGCCCCTGTTGATAGAAGGTGGGTTGCACTTGTGCCGTGTTGTACTCAAGCAGGGGTACTCGTGAGTACTCTTGCTTACTCTATCTGTAGAGTAAGTATCCCCCGGCTTTGTCACCCGGACCTAACCTCTACTGACCCTCCACCCCACAATGGCTACATGCCGCCCCAAGTACCTGGAAAGTTGACATGTGGTCCTCACTTCCTGGCTCTCCCTCCCTCTGAGTCACCTACAGGAGACTCCAGATGAGGGAAGGCTTCACCTGGCCTGATCTGCCTCCTAGCCCAGCCCCTTAGATGGTACCCAGTATGGCTCCCAACAGCCAAATCACAGAAGATCAGTGACTGCTACAGTCACATTAACCCCCAAGGAGCTGTGAGATTTCTCAAAGGGCCTTGGGCATTGAGGCCCTCAGGATGTGATGGTGCCCTGGGTTCCTGTGTTGGCCTTGAGCGAGCCTGGGGTAGCATCTGATGTGGGAGCTGGGCCTGATGCAGAAACCCAGGCTAGGTGTGGACCTTGCTCACTGCACTGCCAGCCTGTGGCCTCTCTGGCTGAAGTATGAGGCCCCCATATGAGGGCCTTGTGTGAGAAAGTAATGTCCTGTGTGAGAAACCAGTGTCCTAGGCTAATGGGTGAGCTCCACCTCCCAAATGCATGTCTGTAACCCAAGCTTGAAGCCCATTTTCTAACCTGCATGTGAAATTCAGGCCCTAGGTCATTGGTGGAAACTGCCTCTGAGACTTTATTAGGTCAACAAGAAATAAGGAGGGAGGGAGTGGGGGTGTCATGGGGGAGGGGTGGAGTGGTGGTACACCTTTTGGGGGCTGAGTACTATTAAGGGAGGGTTTTTATCTGACACAAGCAATCAATGTAACTTAGTTCTTTGTACCCTCAATGAACCCTCAAGAAAAGAAGGAAAAGAAAATATTCATCAGGCCCTGTGGCAGACTGGGCTGCCATTCCCAAGTAGCCCACAGGGGGGTGCTGCTTCTGCCCCACTCCCCAGTCTTCAGGGATGAATGTGAGTAGCTGTGGCAACTTGACATGCTCTCTCCCCCACCACAAGTCTGGCAAGTTCTGTAGGGGCTGCCACTTCAGCCTGGATCCTGGAGTGAGGAGGGCATGAAACAGAGACCTACCTGAGTGGGAAATGAAACTTGCTGCTCTCCGTCAGTAGGATTTGGGGGTCACTTGTTAGGTAGTTGCTACTCTGTGCCAGGTGAATGCTCTGTGCAGCACACACACAGCAGAGGGCAGAACAGACAAGCTGTACTCCTGCGGAAACATGGGCATCTGAGGGGTGAACATGCACCCGACAGAAGATCGAGCAGGTTGAAGAGTTCTGTCTCCAGCTTGCTAAGGCCGAGGGGTCTGTGAGATCAAAAGGGACGGTCAGGTATGTGGTTGGATGTGTCAGTCCACAGTGTTCACAGAAGAGAAGAGGCTCACCACATGAACTGGGAACACAGAATACAAGTAGGAGCCAGGCATCGTGAGGAAAGCAGGTCGCTCGCCCTACCTCTGGAAATCCACAAAGTCTTGGGAGGGGGAAGAGAAGAGGCAGGGAGGAGTCTTGAAGTAATGCCTGGAACATGGATTCAGGCTTTTTTTTTTTTTTTTTTTTAATTAATGAAACAGAGACCCCTGATACTTGGAGGACTTGGAAACATCCAAGTTGGAAGTGTTTATGGTCACATCCCTGCTCACCCCCTGACTTAGAGCAGTGCCTCCAAAATCAGGCCTACCCCGGAGGTGCGCATGCTGATTTGGGGGGGGGGGTGATATGGGTAGCATAAAAAATCTATTATTTTATATTTGCTAATTTTTTTAGTTACTCTCTGTTTTATGGCATGTGATACTTGTTTTCCATTTTCAGTGATGATATAGACAAATTTGAGAAAGATATTTAAACAAAGCCAGTAATTTGAAAGAAAGTTTTAATAATTGCACATATAGCATAGAGTATGCCACAAAATTGAATGACTCAGAAACTCTGCCTTAAAGGAAATACTGGTACCTGCATGCAATAGATGAGAAGCCAGGGAGGTAGAGTGTGCCATGAAGTTTGTAGCCTGGCCAAAGGACTCATTCTGGTTATTGGTGCTGCTGAGATTCAAAGCCAAGCCTGGGATGAGAGTCCACACCCTGTGAGGTCTGTGGGGGAGGGACTGACCTGGTGAGGCAGCCACAGGACTGGGCTGGAGCCCAGGGCTCCCCCAGTGGCAAGTAGTGCTCAGGCCCACTGGCCTGTGCTCTGCTCTGGTAGGCACGATGCCCTTCACGTCCTCACCCACCAGCTGTTCTCCAGCAAGAGAGCAGCAGCAAGCACTGGCACCAGCAAGCACTTTGACATACATTGGAATTGACCCGGGCCTCACCACGTTAATAATGAACAAAGTGCCCAGCTGTGTACATGAGCCACATGGGGCCTGAAAAATCAGCATTCCACGTGGGAAAACATTTGATGGGAATGTTGACAAGCAGTTTGGGAAAGACTAGGATTGGAACAGCAATTTGTGGGAATGAAACTATGGCCAAAATGTTCAAATTGGTTTTTTGTCCATATATCCAATGACAAAATTATTTCAGCAGTAAGACCTAGCCAAGACTTCCTGAAAGCTGAATACTCATGGGCCTTCTCAGGACCTGCACTAGGTCCCGGAGCCAAAAGGGGAGGACTCAGCAGAGAAAGTCCCAGCTAGTGAGCGGGCATCTGTCTTCCCCGGGTGGACTGGAGACCTGGTGAGCAGGACACTCTTGGTCACATGAGGAAGGATCTGAAAAAAACTGCATGTGTACTAGAACCTGGACTCAGCCCCAGATCACGGTGTTCCCTCTGTCATTCACTTGCTGGGACACTGGACATTCACCTCTCCTTTGAGCTTCAGTTTTCTCATTCGTAGGGTGGGGGTAGATGTGCAAGGCAGGGACACATTTCTCCTCTGCAGCCTGGACATGGGGCTGGGCACAGGCTGGTCTTCATCTCCCCGGCAGCATGGTTTTCACTGTGTGGACAGTTCTATGATTGCAAACAACTGAAACTGCATCTGGTTGACTGGAGCATGAGACAAAGAAGGATTTGGTAGCTTACAGAATCAAAGGAAAAGTGAAAAATCTCTGTTTAGGAGCCAGAGTGAGGGCAATTCCCTCTCAGGATCTGGGGGACGCTCTTCTCAGCTGTTTTCACCCTGGCACTGCTCTGCTGAGATTCAGGGTCCTGGGGCCCAGAGTTTGACAGTGTGGCCCATGTCACAGGCCCTTGCTTAGGCCATGCCTTGGTTAATTGTCACACCAAGAGTGCATGTAATGGACTTATGCTTCTCAGAGCAACAGCAGTGTGTGCTCTGAGTAGTGGGACAGGCTATGAGGAAAGTGAAATAAACAACAATGAAAGTACATGTGTATGTGGCCAACCACAGCCTTCCACTGCATGGTGGACCCCAACTTTTCTTCTGCGCAAGCCACCCCATCCACTTTGTATCTTTCAGGACCATAGAGGACAATCCATCTACCCATGAGTGATCACAGTATCAGAAGCATGTAAGCGTCCCACTGGCACCCTTCTCTATGTGATCAAAAGCATGTAAGCATCCCACTGGCACCCATATCCATGTGATCCAAAGCATGTAAGTGTCCCACTGGCACCCATCTCTATGTGATCAAATGCACGTAAGTGTCCCACTGGCACCCTTCCCTATGTGATCAAGAGCATGTAAGCATCCCACTGGCGCTCATCTCCATGTGATCAAATGCATGTAAGTGTCCCGCTGGCACCCATCTCTATGTGATCAAAAGCATGTAAGCGTCCCGCTGGCACCCATCTCTATGTGATCAAATGCATGTAAGTGTCCCGCTGGCACCCATCTCTATGTGATCAAATGCATGTAAGTGTCCC